TTTTTTTTATCTAGATTGTGTGAACAACAACATAAAATAAAACCATATGGTAAAATCTGACGACAAGTCATAATGGTAACCAACTACATTACTATAAGTTAATTCCCAGACGCCATATCTTTCACTAAAAATCACGTGATATGCCGACATTGTGTGGCACATTCCCGATTTAGCATACTACTATATGCACAATTATAATAATTCAGTAGAATTAAATCAACGTATTTCAACTGTTAAATGGCGACAGTCGTCGCGCTGCTCATGTGCGACACTTTAACATTAATTTTCCCATAATACAATGCTCTCTCCTAATGGAAATCACAAGTATAATGTTTGACCTGGGCGAGACTTGCACTAATTACCGCACGTGACTTCTTCGATACCTTCCAATTACCTAATAAAATACCTAATTAAAGCTTAGTAACGTCTCAGCTTATAATCGTTGATCTGCGCAACAGTCAAGTCGCCATCTTTGTTTATACGAGACCTATATATCTCGCGCATGCGTGGCACGACAACTACTGCGTTTTAACTATGATATTTTGAATAATTTTCGCTGTTTATGCAGTTATTGGGACAAGTGAATTTCACCGTACAAAACAAAAATGAAACATTTCCATATAAGATCTACAATAACACATGAAACATATATGACAAATTGTTTGCAGCTGGTCAAGTACAAAAAAAACGGTACACTAGTTTACTAGCACTCCTATATTGTATATGTATTAACATACGCCAAATCTGAATCAGGATACTTACTAAGTACTAGACCGTGATCTTTTTTTCCTTTATTTAAATGTCACGGTAGCAGCATATTGTCATTATCTCATAAATAAAATTTGTGTTAATTTAACTTATTGACTCGGATTATGACCCGTTACCAAAATTATTTATTTCACATGTGAAAAGTAGTATAACATTCATTTCATAAAGGACTAGTATCAGAAAATTCCTATGGCTTTGTTGAAACTCTGTATTGGCCAGCTTTTGTATACAATTGTATGTATGTCATGATTCGTTGTAGTTGAATTGTCTAATTACAGTTTTCACCAAATCCTTCATTTTCTCCACAGTACCTGGATACATAGGTTGTGCCAAATATCGTGAGAATTACTGGGGTTCGAGATCCTGCAAACAAGGAGACCAGATAGAAAATGACCGCTGTGACGTTAGTATTTCTGGATGCATTGCATTTTGTCGAAAATCCTCGTTCACCCACGCCGGTATAATTGGTGGGAATGAATGCCGGTGTTTAGCAACGAACATTACGTCAGTGATTCCGAAGGATGATATCACTGAAAATGCGAAATGTGACGTGGAATGTGCAGGAGAGGACATTGGTACATGTGGCGGCAGTGATCATATTAGTGTATATTCACGTAAGTTATTTTGAAAGTTGATGCGTTGTTCCCCCAGTTTAAGAAATATCCAGTAATCTCCTGTAAATATATATAAATATATAAGGATAAATTTAACATCAAAATAATTATTGGCGTATTTTGGTTAATTTTGTGAATACTAAGGTTTGAGATTGTTCTCAACCAAGTCAATCGTTTACAGCGACTTTAAGTTCACTCGTCGAATAATAAACTATCACTTTAATTGGCCAAACGCATTGGTTAAACACGCCCCATTTGAATATTCCTGCAAGCTAATATACAAACAACATTAATCTTTATTCGTCGATATTTGTATTAACTTTTCTTCCATCTGCATCTTGTATTCACTCCAGTGTCACTTGGGGCCTGCAGTAGCACATTTCGAAAATCAGAGGGCGTCTTCGCATCTCCAGGTTTTCCAGGAAACTATCCACCTACCGTCGATTGCAATTGGATAATTCACCAGCCGAGGGAGAAGATGATTGAACTCACGTTTTTCATGATGAATCTCGCCGATCCTGATGACGTCATCAACGTGATTGAGGAGAATGCGTCCGGTGAGGGCAGTGTGACCACAATACTCCAAGCATCTCCAAACGCAATACGTTTCCCCTGGAAGATGGTGATTAGGTCGAATTTAGTCAAAGTGCGATTTGTGTCGAATGGTGATAGAGAGAGCAACGGGTTTATTATTTCGTTCAAAGGTAAGTGTGACGTCATATATTAATCATGCGTTTGAGAAATTCAACTTGTATTTTTCATTTTAAAGGGCGGCAGTCGTCACGCCGCGTCCTGTTCGATATGGAACTCATAGCAACGTATACAACGCGTGTAAAATACATTGTTTATTTACATGAAATTCGAACACGCGCTGCGCGACGACCACTGCGCTTTAAGTTAATTATGGCACCATGTTCACGCAGGTGTCACGTGCTAGACTAGCTACTGTCAATATGTTAAGAGCAGTGAGGTCAGATGACGATATAATTTGTAGATAATTGTTATATTATGAATTTGTTTTTTTTCTTCAGCTGTCCCATATATTGACCCGAATCCCATTATACAACCGGACGTTACGACACAGTTTGCAGTTAAAAGAATTGAATACAAAGAGGATGACGGGAAATCTTACCGGTCACGTGTTCTTGATTCAGGTTTGTCAATTTACTAGAGAGACAATTTCAATTTCCAGGGGCCCGTTTGAACTACCTAAATACAGTGTATATAGATTTGTTTATTTTTGTTGTTGTCAAGATTGTGCCTTTAACGTTGTACTTCAAATCCGATTGACCCCAAAATAACGACACAGAAGCAATAAATCTTTGGGTGCAGGAATTTTAGAATTGTATGAAGATAGGTCAATGAATTATGAACATCAGCCAGACCGGGAACGTGCTCGCACCCGTACAGCATGTGCGTGTATATAGAGGGCGCTGATTAACGTGTCGCTACGAACTACTAGAATAAAAAGATTACACCATGAAAGAAAGTATGTTTATAACATAATGTATAGTAGTCAGGGGATATGCAATATTATACAGTATCATCGCAGTAAGCGTGAATTACCATGATATACGAACCCGGATGTGTACTAATTGTACCTCGATCAAGACCATTAACAAGTATGTGTATGTTCCCTTTCAGTTATTTACATGGGCATCGTCTTAGCATCAGTCTTGTTTGTCGTAGCCGCTGCTTTACTTGTATTACTTAGACATAAACGGTATGTATCATTATTGCGTCATCATATCCTATATCATTCCATCCTATCATCTCTTTCCACCCCATCTCATTCCATTCCATTCTATTATTTCATCCCAACCGACCACCACCATTTTCATCCCACTCTATCCCATTCCATCATCTCCTTCGCCATCACACCCATTCCATCCAATTTCATTTGATCGTCTCCTTCAAACCCAGCCATCCCACCATCTCTTTCCATCTCACCATCCCATTCGATCGTCTCGTTCAATCCCACCCATCCCACCATCTCTTTCCATCCCACCATCCCATTTGATCGTCTCCTTCAATCCCACCCATCCACCATCTCTTTCCATCTCATCCCATTTTATTTGATCATCTAGTTCCATCGCACCCCATTCCATGCCATCATCCTTTATATCCCATCCATCCCATTATCTCATTCCATCCGATACCATCACCTTCCCTTCCCACCACATGCCATCTCTTTCCGTCCAACCACATTCACTCTAATTTTATTCCACCCACCCCTTATCTGTTCTTTCCTAACACGACTCGTTTGCATTCAAAGTTTCGCCTATCGCATTCTAGTTTATCATATACCATATCAAACCCGTTTCAACCCATCACACCCCATGTCAGTTCACTGACCCCATTATATTCAAACCCGTCACATCCAACTCTATCCCATATATGCAACTTATTCATCCGATAAGAATCTATGTTTCTTTCAAAATATAGTTTGATTACCCAATCCCAGTGACTCATGAAGCTTCTATTTTTTAATATTTCAGGAAAATTAATAAGGCGAACAACAGTTCAGTTTTCGTACACACTGAGAAGGTGAAACCAAATCAACGAACAAATGATGGTGTTACTGAAAACTCAAACAACGTATCCCACGAAAACTCCCAAGATGGTGTTGAACATGAGTACTTGGCGCCTCAATCACTTCGTGTGAATAGTCACATATATGCCGAGATCGACGAGACAAACAGTCTTCCAGAAAATCATGACAACCCAATTGCGGCTCGACCCAAATATTACGTTTTGGAGGAAACGAGCACGAATAACGATATCGCTACGGAGCATGCGCATGCGCATGGAAACTTACCAGCACAGACATTACCGAGCGAAACACGGATATGCCAACTTCAGTCAGCAAGAAACAGTTCTCCATTTTCGCCACTACGACGCCAAAGTCACAAATACGATGAAGTGTACATATCGTCAGATCGACTCGATAGGTGGACGCAGCAGGATAGCGCCAATGAACGCACAATGATTTGTACATCCGGGTATGTTCGCTATGCTGAGTCCGACACAGAAAGCACGTCCAGTGAATCACTCGGTGCGGGCTGCATAATACCACAGGAAAACGAAAGGAGAATGAACACCATTGACGTATTTTCGTCACGACAACCCGCAGTCTGGGTAGAGAAATCAAGAACTTTGCCCGGCAACATTTAATTTAATCATTTTCACAAACACAAAACCGGATATACATGGAGTACAAACTAAATTAAACTAATTTTCAAAATATAATATACATATTTTGCAGCAGGTATTATAAAAAGATAGTATCCAAATATATGAATTTACATACTCTGGAAAATTAATGGACGAGTCACACAATTTGCATATTAGTTGTTGTTGTTGGACGATGTTGCATCGTCTATTATTACTGTTGGTAAATTGTGGCTTGAATTTACATGAAGGTCAGAGGTGAAATGGAATGCCAATCACACTGGTCAGTGCAAGCCGCGGCGGCCACACGTGTTGGATGCTCTGGGGGGTAGAAACGCGTATTGGATAGCTTTTAAATCGGCTGAACAATGTAATAGCATGAAGTTGCTTACTGCTTACATGTTTTAAACCGCTGAAATTATTACGATTAACAAATATGAAATAATATTCCATATCCACGTTTTTTTTTGTCTTCAAAATAGTTTCAATTTTCTACTAATTGTACAATTATTTACTTTCCCGGAAAGCTTTTTTGTTGTAATTTATAACTTGTTACGGCTTTGTTGATTCAAATAAAGCAACATGACACGTGTTTATATCATTATTATATCTTTCGTATTGTCTTGTTATTTGTCGCATGGGTCCATATCGAACTCAACACAGCGCAACGACCATCACCCACATTTATAATGAGTAACTTACGTAGCAGACAAAATGAAAAATGACGAGGCTGAACTAGGCTGCGGTTCCAGGGTGGGATGGAAGTAATACGAAACACACCCATCTTTAGACTATGATATAGTCACGTTATCTGGTATGAGTAGAAACTAAAAAGGAAATATATATATTTGCTGTCATTCAATTTGCCCTAAATTTTAACTGGTTAATCTTTCGAACTACGCACTCAGGAAATTGACGTAAACGTACTACCCAATGCGGTGAGGCGATGGCCGAATAAAATAATCCTACATGGCTGGCGAAGATGCAAGTTACGTCCATTTTGTCATGGCATAATAAAGTAGTATTCCATGTTATGTACGACATTCTAGAAAAACACACGAGAGTTTAAAGATATATACACACAGTATTGGTCAGAATATTGGAGGCTAGCGCTTTCGTGAATTTACAAGACACACCATTCTAAGTGGGTATAACACGAAAAATGTGAAGATTAAGCAATTAATAGCATTGCCCATGCATATAGGGGCATATCATCAGTTCTCTGATTTTATCTATTATTTTTGGAATTTTTGATAAAAAATGTTATTTTCTTTTTTGAAAACTACACAATGATAACAATTGTAATAGGACAACTACCATAGTTACCGATAACCATGGCAAATAGCTAATATCTTATCATATAGAATATTTTGTTTTGAGGAAGACACTCTCCAAAGACAGCGTTGCTATTTCGACCTTTAGGTCGCTTGTTCAATAGTTTTGGAACTCGATGAACTCTACCTCGATGTTGCACTTTGGCACTGTATTAGCCAAGGTGTTAGGTCTGATTTACAATAACGGCTAACACGATATGTACAGTTATGTAGGTAATATAATACCGGCTTACACAATGATAAACGAGTAGTAAGTTTAATTCCAGACTTTTAATTGAACGACATACAAGTTGAAGAAAGAAATAGATGAATGTACCGTCAGCAACCCCTTTTTATTTTTTATTTTATTTTATTAAACTGCAGCCATTAGGCAAAAAAACAAAACAGTTATAGGCCTGAAATATGATTTCTCCCCGAAATATGAATGAATGAATAGGTTCTCATCTCGGTTGATGTCTGTGGTATGAATGCGACGTTGGGACACGATTAGATTATTAAAGCGGGAGGGTCGTCACCTGCGCACGAGCGGGAATTGAGATCCAAGCGACGATAACAACACACACTATAAACGCAAAGGCTCATGGTTAGACGTACGCTTGTTTGTAGACAGTGACACGCATTGACGCTGCAGGTCGGCGTTCTTTCAACACCGTTTGTGCTGGGATAGCGCTTCCGGTGACGACACAACGCAGTGACACGCTATCACCATCTGACGCATGCGCAGGTAACGACTCCCCCGCTTTAATATTGAAAGTTGATTCCAATTTAAAACGCACTTAAAGCAGGCCATGTACACAGCTCACGACAATGAAGTTAACACGTACAACATCATAGTACATGACATTTAATGAAAGAGACACAACTCGACTAGAGACACAATGTCTCCAACCCGGAGATGCGCGTTCTGCACATCAACGAGCAAGTTACATACACGGTGTCATCTGACTGACAAGAATTATAAACTTACACACGCTGTTTACAGTTTCCTTGTCATTCTTGCTTTTGACTGACTAACAGACTAAAGAGATTTTTTTTTATAGAATATCTTTAATTATCAAGTAAATAAACTATAAGTTCACTAAAAGTGTGTTATGTCACCTGTCATTAAATATATTACATCTGGATATCTCGATGATATTTAGTTAGTATTTTGAATCGGTTCCATAAATCTTTGGAAATTATAATTTACATCTTCTTAGTTAAATTAACGAGATTACAATTACATTCATATCGACTGTATTATATCATAATTTTATAACAACTAAAATTGAACGTGGGAACCAATTTTTGGTTCGTAACATTCAATATTTTCTCCGTAACAAAACTCCTTGTTTTGGACTAATGAAAAGCGCACCCACCCAGTACGTCATTGTCAATTTCATCGAGTGTTCTCATCGGAACAGTACCTCAGTTGTGTTTTGTTGTTGAATCATTACACATACCATATAACTGAAAGACTGAACTGTTAAAAAGTGTATCTAATTATCGCGGCGCATTCACATCACTTGTATTTGAAGGAAGAATAACAATGTGGAAATTCTTTTCAGGATTACTCCAAACCGTTTCCGTTTCCGCTGACAGTTTTATACTAGACCACCATGGTGTGGCATGCCTAAAAGATCTGACAAGACAAAAAATCTGACAAAACAGGATTAACAGCGTAACATTTTGATATCATCACCTGAAAATATGCTAATGAATATAATTAACATGCACATATGCCAAACATTCCTAAAATACTCTCTACAAAACTATGTCATGTTTTTATTGAAGTTTTACTCGAATGTAAAATTATCATACTAGATATTTGAACGTCAAATGAGTTCTGAATCAGTGGATTAAATGTTTAATACCCAATTGACCGCCAAATGAGTTTAGTGGATTCAATGTTTAATATCCAATTTAACCATTTGACCGCCAAATGAGTTCAGTGAATTCAATGTTTAATACCCATTTTAACCATTTGACCGCCAAATGAGTGAACCAGTGGATTCAATGTTTCATGTTCAATTTAACCTTTGAACGCCAAATGGTCTCAGTCGGTTCAATTTTTCATACCCAATTTAACTATCTGAACGTCAAAAGAATTGAACGTCAGATGATCTCAGTCACAGTGGTTTCAATGCGTAATTTTACCTTTTGAACGCAAATGGGCTCAATAGGGTCATAATCCAGTTTGATCCACTGAACGTCAAGTGAGTTCAGTGGGTTCAATGTTTAAAGCGGGAGGGTCGTCACCTGCGCACGCGCGGAAATTGAGTCCCAGGCGACGATAACACATGCTAAAAACGCAAAGGCTCATGGGTAGACGCTTGTTTGTAAACAATGACGCGCTATGTCCATCTGACGCATGCGGAGGTGACGACTCCCCTGCTTTAATGCCAAATTTTAATCTTTTAACATCAAATGAACTCAGTGGGTTCAATTTTTATACCCCCTTGAACGTCAAACAGGCTCAGTGTTCAATGTTTCATACATAATTTAACATCAATGTCAACTTTTGATATTTTTCCCGATATACTGATAACTGCATATTTTTCTTGATTATTCAAACATAAATTGAAAATAAAATCTGATGTTCAGTTGATTCAAAATTAAAGAAGGAATTCGTAGAAAAATGGGCAAAATGTAATGTACGGAAATAAACTGATCATAAAAACCGCCATCTCTGTGTCAGTTTCCTTAGGAAAATTTCAATATTTCCTGGAACTTTTGGACTTTAAACCAATAAGCCAACGCCGCCCCTGGACATGGCCATTTTTCGTTTATGGTGAAAAGTATGCCTAGTTGCCCATATAATTATGTCTATGCGTTGTTATCTTGTTCTTTGGGGTTGATTTTCATGAAAACATTGAAAAAATAATGAATTAGGTATCAAAGAGCCACCGCCAAATTATTGAAGTAACATAAAATTACCGGTGGTGGCGCTGCAGTGAGTCCTTGTGGCACACCACGTGACACAGTAGGCGTAAACAAACTTACTAAAACAAAGGGAAAGTATTTGGTGTTCGGTCGTTATCAATGTTTTCCAAATGAATCGCATATTGGGATCTATATTTGCCGTGATCACATTTCTAAGTAGCTTTAGCCTTTCAAGTAAGTAATCAAAGCTGATATTTATGTCAACATTTCCTCCTGGAAGTGCACAAATATTTCCAGCTATTACGGAAGTAGAACGACTGTAATTCTGACATGGCGATGCTACCATCACAACAACCGCACTGTAACCCACACGGTACTTTAGTGTGGGTTCGTATTTCTAATGAAGATGTCTAATTTACTTTTTAACAATTAAATTGCGTTGATAACATTCACATCGTGTCACTCTGTTACCGTATAAAACTATTCTAGATGACACTCACGATTATTACTAGTACTCGGTACTTCCGGGCTGATTATTAACTAGCTGCAGAACTGCAGCTAAATATTGACTGGCCATACATGTATGTCGAGCCATGGCGGTAGCTTATGTCTATCCCCCGAGGTATTACTTTTGTAGCGTATACATTGCCTTGCTTTTTGAGTACCAAATTTTATTTTCATGCTCAATATTGGCATGAATTTATTCAAATTTTCTGTAATTTTCGCTGAATTCAGTCTTAATATTGAACCAAAGGGTTAAATTCAGTTGAACCTTATTTCTGTTTTCAATAATCCAACTTTTCCATGGTTTCCTAC